GATCATGTATTGTGTTATATTATATTTCTGGAAAATTTAAGGGGTAGTTATATAATAATTTTGGATGATCTCAGGCGATCGGATACTTATGACCGCTACTGTATCATCATTATTTACATAAACATAAATTTACAGTAATAACTGATCATGCTGCTTTGATTTATTTAAAGAATATAAAAAATCCTATTAGACGACTTAGACATTGGCTAATAACTTTTAACTCTTATAATATGGAAATTATTAATCATCCTGGAAAACTTCATTCAAATATAGATACTTTAAGTCAGATACAATACTAAGGAATTTTTTAACAAATTTACAAAAACAAACAGATTTATTCTTGCGGATACTTTTACAGATAACGGATTTTGATTTTAATTCAACAATGAATTCAGATATATATTTTTCACTGGTACACTACTTATCAGAACTTAAAATACTAACACATTTAAACTAATAGCAATAAGCAGCAATTAAAAAAAGGTCAAGATATTTTATTGTAATAGAAGAACAACTTTATAAAAAGAATAAATAGGAACCCAACGATCTTTAAAAGTTATAAAAATTAATAAAATTAATATTATATTATATAATTTGCACTCTGATCTTTTGGTAGAACATTTTATATTAGAGAAAACCTACAGAAGAGTCAAAGTAAGATACTATTAGCCACAAATGTATGATGATGTACAGTGATATATTCAAACTTGTAACGAATGTCAAAAGAGAGGTAAAAATAAGAGGACTGAACTATTGCATCCTATAAAAGTTGGACAACTCTTTGATCAAATAGGAATGGATATTGTTAGACTTTTATCCATAATGAACAAAGAAAATAAATATATTGTAGTAGCAACTGATTACTTGACTAAGTGGTCTAAAGCCAGAGCTCTTACAAACACAAAAGTATCCTCAGTAGTTCCTTTCTTTTATGAGGATATAATTTGTAGACATAGATGCCTTAAAGAATTATTAACTAATAGAGGAACACATTTTGTAAATCAAATACTGGATTCTCTATGTAAAGAATTGGAAGTAAAGCATAAGTTAACAACTGTATATCATCCTTAAAATAGCTGAAATAACAAATCTCTGAGACATCAAAAATGTATATCACTGCTTACCACCGCTTTCTTAGAAATTTTTGATCCTTAATTAATTATAAATATTCAGATTTATCTGTATAAGTATATCCATATATTTCAGGATTTTTGTGAATAATAGTCTGTATCTATAAAAGAAATCACAAATTATTCATTTACAAATAAACAGATATCCAGCATAATCAAATAGATTTCTCAAAAATGACCATATAATAAATAGTATTTATCTATACTATTATTTGTTTAATTAGTTAATCAAATACCAACTGAAATGCTGCCAGTAAAATCATATTACAAGATCACTTAAAATAAAAAAAAAACAAAAAAAAACACTTATTTTATATTATAATATCACCAGTAAATTTTGAAATGTTGTTCACAGCCAATATTTTTGAGTTGAAATATAATAGTGAACTTGCTGTTAAAAAACTAACAGGATTTGTAATAGAAATATTTTAATAGTAAAAATATTTCTAGCATCAAAATTAGATTAATATGAAGTATATAATAATACCATCAAGAAATATTGAAAGCCTATTGTGAATGAAGAAACAATCTGATTCAATATTATATTGCCTGTGAGGCATACTGTAATCATATCAGCAACTGCCTATATTACTAATAAAGAATGCAACAGTTGTATGAAACGCACACTCATCTATAGCTATTCTATCATTTGCCACCATTATTTTTTAAAAAAAAATATTCAAGGCTATCCATAATGGAAGGGTCAGTTTCATATACAAGAAAGTGCTATCTATTATATTTGAATCTGATTCAATATTATATTGCCTATGAAGCGTACTGTAATCATATCAGCAACCGCCTTTACCACTAACAAAGAATGTGACAATTGATACAAAATACATACTTGTTTACAGCTATTCTATCATTTGCTGATCAGTATTTTTTTTAAAAAAAATATTCAAGATCGTATACAAGAAAGAGCCGTTTATATTAGCGATAATGTTAATATAGGAATTGAAAACTTTTATTTTGACATCATAAGAATTTATTTCATCAATGCCTAAGACAATGACTTATGTTCTAAACAATTTTGTTATAAAAGAAACCATGAGAGACATCAATTTAAGAACTGTAATAATTGATTACGATAGTTTCCTAATTACCTAAATCTCAAGTTGTATCTTTAAAAAATCAACATCAACAGTCATTTGATAGTATAGAGAAATTTAGATATTCTACAGTCTATTACAAGTTAAATTCTAGTTCAAAGAATTTTGAATATTTTTTATTTAGTCCATTTACTTCTTTTTCAATGAAATTTAATAACTATATCATTATAGTTTATTGAAAAATATATCGATATTGAAGGAAAGGTCAAATCCTCTTGTTATAATAATAAATTTATATAGGTACATTGCCAGAAATTACATTACGAATCATATATATATCATAATTTAATTTTATTCATATATTCATCATAATAGATGAAAGCGTTAAAATATTTTTCGCATGTATTTTGAGGTGTGAGTATGGTATATGTTATTCTTCTGATCTCAATCACAATTTTATTTCTATAATGAAATTTGCTAGATTTTGATTTTTATTACTAATCTTTTTTATTTCACGATTATGTAATAATGATTTTTCTAGTTATTATGTAATGAAACTGAAGCTTCACTTGTGAAGAAAGCTTAATAATCTAAAAACTGTATCATATAGCCTGTGATATACATTTTCTTGTATTCCAAGGATTTTGAGAATGTCACACTAAGTCTTAAAATGTTTTACATTAAGTCTTAATATCCCAGATCATGTCCCAACAATATCACTTTACGCTTCATGAATTTAAAAAATTAACATTTTTTATATATGTTCGAAAAAGCATGAGCATTATAATCTAAGAAAATCAGATATTATAGTATTTTTTATATAAGTGATGACGATTTTTGGATCATAGATTATGTTCTTTATAAGTTATTTTTCGTTGACTTTAATTTTATACATAAATGCTAATTAGTATTGATGGACTAATGGATTTTGGACTATGACTTCAACCAACAGCAAAATTTATATATTATAAAATTTATAATATTTAAAGATATTTTTTATTAAATTTACTAATTATAAATAACATTTTTTATATTAATATCTTTTAAATAATTTATTACTTTTAAATTAAAAATTGTAATAATTATAATGTGAAAATTTTTATGTGATAGTAGTAATGAGTATGATTTTTTAATTATTAAATTTTTAATTTAGGTTAACATTATAAATTTGGCTAGAATTATAGTATATAAAATTATAAGTTGGCAAAATTTATATAAATTATAGTTCATTTCATCAAATATTATGATTTTAATATATAGAAATAATTATTATAAGAATGTTTAATAATAAATATAAATATTATTTTAATTCTTTATCAAAAGATCAAAAAAAACGTTAAAATAATTTAAAAAGATTATATGGGATCTTTGCAATAGAAAAGGGAGAAACGGCTGGAAAAAATAAAAAATGAGTTATTGCTAAATCTGAACATATTTTGATCTAAAAATCATATTTGGCATATAAAAGTAAAATAGATTTTTTCCGGCTGTTTCCCCCCTTTCTATTGCAAAGGTCCCATATAATGTATTAAAACTTTTATTTCATTACAAATTTTTATTTAATAAAAATTAAGAACTAATTAAATTAAAAAATAATTTGAATTGCTAATAATTTGTTCTTTGATTTTTGCTTACTCAATAATGATATTTCGTTTGTTTTATAATAATTTAATTCTATGTTATATATTATGAGTTAAAAAAATAAATAAATAATCAATGCATCGCCTCCTTACTAAATTTGGAAATTTTGTGTAACAGGAGACGGTCCCTTCTGGAATAGATTCCCTAAGATCTCCAAGGTTCGCTTGATCTATTTGCAATCCACTTGAATGTCTCTATGCGTTTCGGATTAACTATGACATCGAATTCTACAATCACAACAACTATATTAGTATAATTTTGATTACAAACTCCTCAACACAACCAACATACCATATGTAGACTTCTTGAGACTCTGTAGTTCCGCTATCTTATTTATCGACTCCAACTCTTGTCTGGTTTTGGTAGTTTCTGGTAAAGATACGATGATATGAATATGTTCATCAGGAGGTTTGGTAAAATACTTGCTTATTTTCCTTGTTGCAAGAAGCTCATTGTTGTCATGGAGTTGAAGATTAACTAATTCATAATAACAATAATCAGGAATTTCGACCTGCCAGAGTTTGAGTCGGTCAGGATCAATGCCAGCAAAATCATTATGCTTTGCTGTTGGATCAATCTTTTATGCTCACTAATAATTTCATCCCTACTAATATTGATAGCAAAGGCATTGTGCACATTTCCTTAGACTATGCAAAAAAAAGTTATGGTAGATCGGCACTTTTTTGGCCGTGGCTCAAGATTTTCCTTTTCTTCGAGTTTTCGTTTCACGGAATCCTTCTATAGTGATAGGTAAAGCTTAGCAAATAGCAATTTATACAATCACCACGCAAGTTTTATAATTTACTCATTAACCTTATTTTGTTCTGTGATTACACCTCTCCAGAAACTCTCCAATTCTTTTGCATAGCGTAACCGTTCTTTGTTTACCTGTTGTAAGAGATTATAAGTAGTGAGAAATAACTTTTTTATTTAGTGGTAAAAGAAGGTACATAGCCAGTTAATTTTTTTTTTTTTTTTTCCTCCTCCAGCACCAGCAGATTTTTACCAGTAACAAAGTTCAGTGCTTGAATTGAGAGCTTGGGGTGGATACCAAGTGTGTCAATCCAGTAATTCTCCTAAGTCAGGAAGGACCCAACTAGGAGTTACCTTCCTTTGCAAAATAAAAAATACGCACTTTTTCTTTCAAAGAGTTAAAAGACTTTTGATCTAATGGCAACTTTCCCGCTTCTTTTAAAATCTGATCGACCCAAAAATCATCAAGGTAGAGCCAGTCATTCGAAAATGGTGATGAGATAATGACTTTATCACGACAAAAATCTAAAAAACCTCGATATGACTGCTTCGAATACCTTTTTTTAGATAAGAGACAATGACTAAGAAAAAAAAGGATTAGAAAATATTTTTATATCATGCTAAATTGCTATTCGAAGATTTACCAGAACGGACAGAATGTTTTTCAGAACTGCTCATTGTCATGTAACTTGCAAGAATCGTGTTATTTTACAAAAGAAATAAGTTTGTATGGGTCTTATATACAGTGAAACCTCCATAAGTGCACCCTCTATAAATGCATACTCTATGTAAATTCTCTCTAAATGTACAGTAGGCTTTTGTCCCAACTCATAAGAGCTCTTAATATTTTATTCTCTATAAATGCACACCCTCTCTAATTGCACATTCTGCTATTTTTTTATTATGATCCCAAGGGGAGTGCACTTATGAAGGTATCACTGTAGTAAAAGATTGCATTGCCATTTTTTTCGCCAAGGACTGTATCATAAAAAGGAGACATTTTCTAAATATTATAGGTGTAATAAAATGATCTAATCTATGTTAATATAATTTTTCTATATCTAATCTAAAAATTCAAAGACCTGATAACCGTAAACTAGTTTGGTTTATTTTTTAAATAGTAATTAAATTAAATTAATTTATTTATTTTATTATAATATTTATTATATAAATTTAATGTATATATAAAAATGCAATAATCACTTCAGATATAGATTTTTTGCTATAAACACTCCATTCAATATTATTTTCTTTTCAAAAGATGAAATACTTTGCTTTTAATTTAAAATGTATTTAATTTTATAATGAAACTTTTTATTTCCTAATTTAGTCTCAATAATATAATTATCAGGTATCTAATACTAAATCTCCCTTTTTTGTATCATTATAATATTTGTAGGATAATGTTCTAAAGATATTATATTATACTATGAGATAAATATTATCCTATCTGTTTTATTAATTGCAATAATATGAGAAGAATTTGGATAATCTTTATTAAAAGTTCTTGTTAAGTAGTTATCTATAAAATTCTTTTAAAATTAGTTCTATTTCTATAAAAATAAATAATAATAATATTATAAAAAAAATATCAAAGTTTGTTCATTTGACATAGTTATTATTATTTATTTTAACAAACTAAAAATGTTAATTTCTTTTTAATTTCTATAAATTAATCTAAAACAATCTAGAACTTATTTAGTGATAAAAAGATAATGAAATTGTAAAAGTTCATAAAATCTTGTGATTATCATAAAATTTTTATTTGTTATAGTCAACTCTTAATATAGTGAACTCTTGATATAACAAATTTTTGAACAAATATAATAAAAATACTTTTATTATAGCAAATTGGCTAATCAATTCTCTTAAAATTTTTACTATAGCCTTATAGCGAAGTTGAAGTTTAAGATATAGAGTTTATTATAATAAGAGTTGACTATATATGATTTATTTATTATATTACAGATTTACATTATTTATAAAAATTTTTTAATATAAATTAAATTAATTATTCTGATATAAGTAATAAAATAGAATAGAATCAAATTAATTCATATGTTTTTTAGCATTCTAAAAAGAATTAATTTTAATTTCATATATTAAAAACAAAAATAAACAAAGTATTTTTTAATAAAAAATATTTTATTAGGAATATAAATATTTTTAAACTTCATTTAATCATTTATTTAAACTATTAATAATATTTTTATATTAAATATTTTAATTAAAATTAAAAAATTTTGAAATTTAAATAGATCTGAAACTTTTTTTAGCTTTTGAATAATATTATTGATCATTTTCAAATTTTATATTTATTGTTTTTAAAATCTATTTAGATTTTTTTATTGATATTATAAAAAAAAAAATAATCTAATTATTTATTTTGTTAATAAGATAATTTATTATAAAAATTTAACTAAATAAAGTTTATATGTCATATAATAATATTAATTAAAAATCCTATTTTTAGTTAAAAGGATTCTAATAACTTAATTTTAATAGTTTAGTTTTCATTTACTTTTTATCTAAAAGTTTAGAATCACCTAACAAATTATAGAAATCATTAATTATTTTTATAAATTAATATTTTAATCAATTTTTTTTTTAATATTTTTATTTTATATATTTTTTTACAATATAAAATAAAAAAGTTTAATAAAGATTATTAGTTAATTTAATATATATAACATTTTTAATAATTTTTTAATAATTTAATTTATAATAAAATCAATTTATTAAAAAAAAATTTTATATATAAAATCTTTATTTATTTAAGTTTTAATTATATAAATCTAATAAAAAAGTTTTTATTTCAAAATTTAAACATAAAAAATAAAAAATTTTATAAAAAATTTTTTTTTTAAAAAAAATCATATTAAGAAATTAATCTGCTATATATTTTTTAATAAAAATATATTAAAATATTTATTAATATCTAATAGGATATTTACAAACATTTATAACTATTTCAATTTTATTTATATATTACTAATTAATTTTTGATAAATTTTTTTCTAAATCTTTAACTAGTATTCTTATAGAAGAACTTTCAATTTTCTCAAATTTTTAGATTATTTCTTAAACTCTAATACAATATTTAAATTTATCTCATAGATATTCTATAGGATTAATATCAGGACTCTATCTTGATCAATATTGATCACTTTTATAAGTCAAGTTATTTTTAACTGAACATGAACTATAAATCAATTTACTAAAATTATAGTCTAACTTTATAAGTTCAATTAGTCTAATTTAATCTAATTAATTATATTGATACTAGCTATAAAAATAAGTTATTATTATTTCTTTAATAAAGTTTTATAATTATGCATTAGTATAAATCAATACATTAACTTTTTAAAAAAGATAATTATTATTTTCTTCTTTAAACTCTTCTAAAAATAGTACTAATGATAACAAAAAATTTTATTTATATATCTTTACTATGAATTTAACTATTAATTCTTATTAAAGAATCTAATTTATATCAAAAAAATATCTTCACATTAAATATTACTATCATTATATTTTACAGATAGAGTAAGATTATTGATATCAGATTTTTCTTTTAAAAGATATTATACATAAACTTTTTTATTACTTTTTAAAATAAAATAAATCTGAATTTATCACTTTAAATAATTTTTTCTAATTATTAATAGTCTAAAAATACCTTTTATGTATCCAGTTTAGACAAATCTTTTAAGTAATTTTATTATTATTAGATTTTTTAAGAATTATGTAAATATAATATTCTATTTTATATAAAGAATATCTAATAGTATTCTTATTTATTTAGTCTTTAGTAAATTCAAAAAATTTTTTATTGATTTTTTCTGTAGAATTATAATAGATTTAATAATTATTTAGAGTTCTAAATTTAACTTAATAGATTAAATAATCAGATAGATTAATCTAAAAAGTTTAGGTTAGGTTAAGTGAGGTATTTGACCTAATATAATCTTAATTTTTTAATTAAAAAATTCAAAATTCAATAATATTATCAATATTAATCCATTTAAGATAAATAATTATTATTTAAATTCTCACATATAAATGAGTTAAATAAACTATATTTGATTCATTTTGAATTACTAGTTGCTAAGATAAAGCTCATTTAATTTTACTATATAAAATTTTAGAATATATTATAAATTTATATATAAATACAAAATGGTATAAAAAAAATGAAATGAAGTAGAAATATTAACCTTTAACAGGAAATAAAAAGAGAAAGAGGGGAATTATAACTTTATCAATATTAATTTATATAAGATAAAAGAGCTACTATTCAATTTGATATATAAAAATAAATCTAATAAACTATATTTTGTTCATTTTGGATCATTAGATAGTAAGATAAACTAAATTTTAATTTTTTTTCAATATAATCTATAATATAAACTAATCTGATTTGATACTTCAAATCAGGTAAGATAAGGTATTCAACTATTTAGAGCTTTATAACTATTACTTTAAAATAATATTTATCATATTCTGATAATTTTTTAGATTGTTTATTTTTAGAAGTAATAGAAATAATACTTTATTTACAGTATTTTACAATAATATTATAAATAGTTATTTTTTAAAATCAGTTTTTTTTACAATATTTCTTTCAGAATTATTAGATTCAAAAACTGATAATTTTATTATGTTTAAAATTTATTAACTTTTTTTTACTATTTTTTTTAAAAAAAAACTGTTAAATAATAATCAATATAAATACTTATTATTGATTATCATATTATAAATATTTATATAATTTTTTTAATTATATGAAATTATGCAATTATAAATTTTATATAAATCTTCAGAAATGTTTTAACTTTTGGGTGGAAAGTATACTAATAATATTTAATACTGCTAATTGTAAATCATTATTTGTTTTTTAGATCATTTTTAATTTAATATTCTTTTATATAATTTACTGAAATATAAATATATATTTTTTTATATTTTTTAAAATACTGAATTTTATTTACTGCATCCTTTTTAGTCAATAAAGCCTATGTGATATATAATATATCAAAGTAAAAAATGAATTTAATTTCTTTAATTTTACTGTTATATTATATTTATATTCTATTATAAAATAATTTTAATAAATTATCTTTTTAAAATAAATTTATTATTTTAAATAAATTTTAAAATTTGAGTTACAATATTATTTGTGTTACAATTTTTAAGTTCAATAATCTGATATATTTTAATATAGAAATATTATATGAAATACATTTAAAACTAAAGTTAAATATTTTTCATCAGAAATAAAGTAGTTTGTCAACTATAATACTCTAAAATAGAGATTTATTAATTTTTCTTATTTCTTACCTATTTTATAACATTATTAATTTGCATAATTTTGAATATATTCACATAACATCCCCATCTCCTATAAATTTGATATAGATAAGGATTCCCATCTTGTTTTTTAAATTTGTTTCTCGGAAAAAGTTCTTCAAATATTTCCAAATGTATGCGTCCAATCACTAGAATTGAGGCGTCAGCAAAAGTTAAGCATCCAAATCCACATGGAACATTTTTCTAATTTGAAATTTCGCGATAAGCTTCATGGAATTTATTATCCATCCATCTGTTTCGATAATCACAACATCACTAAGTATAACGAAATAATCACAATTTTCATGATATTCTTTACGAGTCAATTCCCTCCAGATATCATAAATTCTATCGGTGAATCCATATTCGTGAAGGATTTTTTTCCGCGGGATTATTTTGGAGCGGATGAACGTGTGAATTCTCCTTGTCTATTCCAATGTAAACTTTAATTTAATATTTCGGTTTACAAAAGTAAAATGACCGACAAATTTGGGATCATTGCAGGAACAAATTTCTCCTAAAACTATATTGGCAATTTCGTAATTAGATTTAAATTATTGTATCTTTACTTTTTTTTTTTTTTTTTTTAAAAAAAAATAAAAATGTATTTATTAAATAACTTTGTATTATATTGGGAGTTTTGTATAATCAACAAAATATAACATAATATCCAAAGTGCCATATGGTAGATAAGTATGAAAAAATTTTCCACAAATGTACTATTGTAGTAAAAATTTATTGTCTTTCACCACGTTTCCAAAATAAATGCAAAATTCTTCTCATGTCATATTGATATTATTTGGTTAATGTTGAAAAAAGGTACGTTGTTATGTGAGCATTAGATCGAAAATATGAGTTTAGAAAATTCACCCGTCTGTTATTAAAATCTTTAATAGCTTCATTTCTTTTACTTATCCCCATTATATTGTTATAAGACGTGGATGATATAGTTAAAGAATATCACAATTCAATTTTTTGTGAAATAGATAGAATAAGTGAAGAGAATATCATCTTGACGTTTTTATCCCGAGATGCAAATTACATATTCACATTAGTGCAGCTCCTAAAACTATTAAATGACTTCCATGGTAAAGGTGACCATTTATTTTTACCTTGATTACGAAGCACAAGTACAGTACTGGGTCGAGGGACACTCTTCTTAAACTTGAATCCGAATGTTTTCACCAAGTTCGAGTTTAGGATACTAACAACGGATACATCACATTTAACAGTATTGTTAAAAGTTATCAAGCGCCTCGCATAGCATATACGAAAAATAATTCAGATCATTTCGCAACAGTGTAACAGTTTGACACCTGGTTGGGGTGAACATAATGACATTTTTCCCATAGCCAAGCAAGAAAAACTGCCAATGGTTCTGTTATGGCTTTTACCCTTTCAACAACCTTTTTTAAATTTAAAAAGAGTTCGGAAATTAAACTAGGAACTGAAAGAACGCCAATAGCATTAGTTGTATCAATAAGTTTGACAGTTGAAGTTATGAGATGAGGTAGATATCTGTTACTGCGTCACATTCATGTGATTTTCGCTGACCGATCGGTTCTTTTTTTTTAAAAAAAAAAACCTCTTAGGATCAATCCATTCAATGATGAAATATGCCAGAACCTTTTAATTGTTTATTGATCTAGTCCCACGTTCTAACCCATAGATTTTGCAAAATATGACGGCATTTCATAAGACCTTGGCCCTGGCTTCATTATTACAAAAATATCATATCCTAGCCATTATTACGAAAATAGCATAACTGGATCTAAAAATAAAAAACTTCTCGCATGATACAGTGGCGTATGTCCAATGTCGCTGACGTATTTACTGCGCATGATAAAAGGAAAATCGGCAAGAATTTTCCTGAAATCGTACTGCGCATTTCAGGTGATCGATTCACTTGACATGCTTAATAGTTATCGAAAATTAATAACATCCCGCTCCATACTCATACAGCATTTAAATGTTAAAAACATAAACCTGTGTGCCATTTATTAATATTAATACGAAACCAATAAACTAAATACATCATTCTTCATGTTCAAATTTTGAACTACATATGTAATAATAAAGATATTATAATACATTTTGAAAAAGGTTTCTTTTGATTTCATCGAAAGTAACATGAGCTATTTCAGGGAACTTTTTACCTTTTGTCGAATGCTTGGCAGTACCGGGTGAACCTCGAATATAGACGATTCGAAATCCAGGTTTGTGTTTGCCATTTTTGGAAACATTAAACTTACGGCTTATAGGATCTATTCTAGCAGAATGGGTGGGTCCATATATCTCGTCCAAGTATATTTCAATTTGGTTTCTTCCATTAATATCATTTGCAGTGATACCAGCTTGTGGAAGCATTGGTTCAAATGCTTTCTCGATATTTTTTGATGATTCGTTGTTATGTTTGGTGAAGCTACTAATTGATACTTGTATAAATATGGTTCCGAGCATAAAGTCAAATCGGGGATATCCATCGAAGCCACGACCTAAAACTTCATCACAACCAGATCCAAGGGATAAGTTGGGTTGCTTTATTATTGCATAATCTTCAAATTCGATCTTAACAGGGTTTGTTTTTCTATTATTAAGATCCGTTGCCTGGAGGAGTATTGTCGTGTTAGATCTGGACACAAGCCTATTGAATAGGGCTTCCTCAAATTGAGGACCGGACAGTTTTCCAATATTGAGTTGATATTTTATTTCTTTTGGTAGGTCAAATGACTTATACATCTTTAAAAAGGCTTTCTGAGCCGGTGGACATATTGGAAGGTAACGAGTAAAATCTCCATCCCTATGAAACCGGTAGATTAACCCAAGATCCAAAATGTGCCAATCAAATTGTATAGTGGGTTTATTAGGAAGAAAGATACTTGTCAGGGCGTCATAATAGCGGTTTTTACTATTTTTTTCGAGACCATTGTAGTATTCTTGAGCAAGATTGAGTAACTGATCAGTCCGCACATCTCCAAATTTATTTAATATTTGTTGAAAGAAGTTTACATCTATAGTATCTACATCGAGTTTGTTACATATTCAACGAGATACATTAGTTCACGTGGTATGCAATTTGTAGCTTCTTTCACTTTTTCTTTAATGCCTGATTTCTTCAGAAGAGGGTGCGTAACTAACAATATATCAAATACGTTGTCCTCTAATGGGCTGATATAAATCACCCACCATATGTTCTGACCATTTTTCATGTATTTCATCTCATACTTTGCGTGTGAAATTCCTGTAAAAATTACACGTACACCCTTATAATGTTCAGCCCAGAAAGTAAGGTTCATCAGTGGGCTCAAAAGATGAAGTCTTTTAGGCACTGGAGGATCTTCTTCGAATAATACGCCATGCTCGTCGATGACAAAAAGAGTCTTGCGCTCTACTTGTTTAGGTAGCTCTCCCAAAATTATTTCAGCAACGATAATGAAATCCTTTTCAGAAGAAAAAGTAACATTCTCCACAAGCATCTCAAGCCCGTCACCAGTTACAATATCCCTATTTAGAGCCAGAAAGTACTCGCAGATAACCTTTCCCGCTTTCTCTGGTGTATCCACATCTAACTCAGCTGCGTCTGCGATATAGAGTATTAGCCATCCTTCAGCATATGCCCTTGCGGCGAGGTACAACGCGATGTATGACTTCCCTACGCCCATTGGGCCCGACAGGACGCGTTTGAAAGAATGAAGTTGATCTTTTGAGATATCATTCCACACATTAATCATTTGATTTGTAACATAGAGTTTCCTTCCCAGGTAACCCTCAGAAAAATGTTTTGGTTCCTGACCGAAATTTGGGAGAACAAAATGTTGACCAACTTGAAGATTCTTTATTGCTGCAAGACTGACGCGTGGATCAGGGGCGAATTTGCTGCTGCTAAGCATGTTAAATATTTTAAGTGGAATTTGAACATATTTATCATCGAAAGATTTGTATTCTTTGCATTCTATTTTTCTGCGTTTCATTATATGACCTGCGAAGCGAAGGAAAGTTTCGAGTATTAGCAAATATGATGCAGAGCGATGAAACAACGGCTATCAAAAATTTAGCACGTCACGTTCGTGTTGACCAATTATTACGAAGCAACGGCTTACCTTGATGTTCCGCATCTAAATTGAGTTAAGTAATCAAAAAGATTAGTAAATTTACAGACATTTGTGTTGTTAAACGATTACAAAAATTACCCGGAAGCCTCACTCCGATTGGGTTATCTTCATCGATTTCATAAACCTCTGTTAATTTGATAAAGTTCTTGACAATCCTTAAAAATTGCGTTGTCCAAAGTGATACATTGTAAATCGGTCTTCTTTTTTACGTATAAAGTTAGATTTGATGGCCCACAAGTCAGTTTTTTTTCTTTTGATATTGCTTTAAGGAGATCAATATAATCATTTCCGGGAATTTCGGTGATTTTATTTGCGTGATAATGACTTTCGATTTGGAACCAAATAGGTTTAGAGAGACTCAATTTTTGTGGTATAAAGTGTTGGTGATTGAGTAAAATATTAGTAGAAAGAGTTAATTAAACAAATAAAACGAAAAACGAGTGTTTTATAAATGACTCAAAAGTTTAACTTTTATCGCGTCATAAACTTTGTTGAAAACGCGTTTTGTAAGTCCGAAGTATATTCTTATTAATATTGGCTGATATAGAAATATCTTGGTTATACAGATCTTGCGATCTCATATTCATTATCACAAAGAAGATTTCCACTATGTAAACTCGATGATGATTCCTTGGCAATGAATATTATGAAGTGCATGGATAATTTGCCGTAATATTATTAATTTATTTTTCCATTCAATACTATAAAAGTTTTTGGTAATATAATGCTTTAAACCATATTTATAATATGTCAAATGATGTAAATGCGACGCTTTCTGATCATTATTTACACACATGGGCTTTGAATATCTTATAAAGGAAAATTTTTTTTTTTTTTGATAGCTTCGCGTTCAATAATTCATCTTATATTTAGAAATCTGTAATCACATGATCAGTTGTATCAATAAAAAATAACGCATCTCAATAATTTATTTTTAGAAGTAAGTAACCATGATGATTTGTAAAAATTAGAAATCTGTAATCACATGATAAGTTGTATCAATAAAGAATAACGCGTCTCAATAAAAAATAACGCGTTTCAAAAATTTATTTTTAGAATCAGTAACCATGATGAGTTGTAAAAATAAATAATAACGCGACTTTCAATAATTAATAGATCAGTGATGTAAACAAAAACATTCCGCATTACGCGTCTTTGATTTTATTATAAATACTCTCCACCTCACCTCTTAAAAATTTTAACTTTTTCTCTCACCTC